AAGCAGGTACAGAGTTTATGGCCAAGGAAAAAAATTAGTTTTGCAGGTTTCATACAGTAAAAGTTATATTGGCTTCTAGTAATGTATGCAAAGTACATTAGTTAGTGATATTATTCATTCAACTTCACAGCCAATCAAGAATGTTACATATCTTGAGTTTTCAAGTTTATAAAAGCTTGTTAAAGGTTCTTAGTAATAAAATTATGCTTTGAATATAACACTTAGATATTGTCGCTCTAATTTATTTGAACAAGTAATAAATCATCAAGCAGAAATGTCACATTCAAATGTCAATGATGGATATTACAATGGGACTCCAGCAAAGCTGACTTTTAGAAGATTTAGTGCATTTGACAGATCAATCACATATTATCTTCTTGTTGCATGCACATAATCTGCCTTTTCGACATGTAGAACTAAAATATCTAAAAATATATTACTGTACCATACCATAAGTCTGCATGGGGACAATGTAACAAGAAAATAATTCTGCTCAAATATTGCCAGAGGTTTTCTGCTACTGAATGCAAATTATATTTTTATTCAGTATGCACAATGGCTTTGAAAGGCAAAATTAATATAATGCAGAATTTTTATAGCACTCCTTTCGCTCATAACAACATAAATATGGAGATTATGCCTAAGAACAAAACGCAGATGTATCTGTGATTCTCTAGGAACATCTATGTGATTGTAGCCATGTTCAAACATGAAAATTATGCATATAAGTGCTTATTTAATAACATGAGTCAAGTGCTATGAGTAATGGTGAGTGATTCAGTTTTCAAATCAGACAGATCATTGGATTGCACATTTTTGATTTGTCTGATTATATGCATGCATATCTGTTCAGTCTGCAGAGAATGATACAATTCATGAATTAATTATTATTATTGCCTGGACTCTTTATTTGTGTGGTTCTCAGCAGATCTCTGTATGTAAATATTCAGACAAAGCAAATGTTTCAGCAATCTCAGTTCTGATGATTCGATCATTACTAACAGTAAGCCATCATGCATAATTATAATTCAGGTTAAGTACCGTTTGACCACAGAAATCCACTTACAATTGGTATGGGTTATAATACAGTGACATTCTTTCGGTTTAGTCCTTCATCTCAGTTCTGATATATTCAATCAGCATAAAAATTTAAAAAAATCTATGCTGAGTTCATGGCCTTTTCACCTTCCAGTCCTCCAGTCACTGTGTAAGGTATCCTGTGTGTTAAGTGTAATGGTGTTCAGTGTCTTTGCTACCATGGCTACCATCTTTCAGGATAACACACTTTGAAGTGGTATTAAAGCCAAAACCAAAAATACCAGTATATTAAATTGTGGCTTACCAATTCTTAGATGTGGTTGCTTCATTAGTTTTCTTTTTTTATGCTTTTTTTTTAATTTATTTTCACCTGCTGATATAGGCAGTAGGTATGTTATTTTTCAACTTCCTAGACCAGCAAAGAAAGTCCAGTTCAGCAAAAGTGGCAGTTGGAGGGCTGAGACAAACCATATAACACTGACAGAGATGCTTACAATGATCAGCTTTTATTCATTTTTGGAAAAACCTTAATCCTAAAAGGAAAACAATACTATTACTGTTACTGCTTAAAACATGTTATCTGGCATTCAGCTTAAATTGCTAGTCAAGTCCATCTAAATACTCTGACAGTGCTACTGTCCAAAGGTGTCCCTCTTTTTCCATCCAAAGAGGAGACACCCTAAGACAGGAATTGTAGTACTGACCAGATAACAAGGTAAAACACATTTTAAAAAGAGCCTAAAATAAAAAAAACAAATGCAGCCACCACATTTTTATGGATTGGTAAGCCTCAATACATATTTTTTTTTATGGGTTTAATACCAGTTTAAGATTTTTGGGCTGCCTTCCAGTTCTACAATATGTATGCTTGAGTAACTGTCTGTGCCTCGGATTTTGATGCTGTATTGTCTGAATTAGCTGTGTGACTTTTTTCAGTTTTCTGGTCCCCCCCTCACCCTCCTTATTCAGTAGTTCTTGATAAATATTGATTCAGAGGGTTTTAAACTGGAGGTAGAGTTGCAAAAAGAAATAACAAAAAGATTTCCTGTGCAAGGTAAAGGCATAATGTGCTGGTATGCATTGTATACTAGCACATTATGAAAGACTTACCTTGAAAAAAGCCCTCCAGTGGCGAGCTGTCACCACTGCAGAGGTTTCCATCACCACCCAGTCTTCCTTCTGGGTTCCCGAGCTGTGGCAGCTTGAATTGCCAAGCCACATGATGTCACATGCGTGTGTGTGCAGAAGTCACGGGCAGGGAACAGAGCTCTGAAGGAATGCCACGGGTATGCTTTTCCTTCAGTGTGCATTTGCTGTAAATGTCACCGGCTGCCACTCACTAGAATACCTCCTAAGCGGTACATGTTTAAGAGATATTCATTTTATCTACAGGTAAGCTGTATTGTAAGCTTACCTGTAGGTAAAAATAAAAAAAAACAGTTTACTACCACTTTAAACACTAGGGGGTTGATTTATTAAAACGGATTGGCTGTTCACTTTGCAAGGCAATTTTCCCTTAGTTTAGTGATTGAGTATTCCTGGGAGCTCTCTAGTGTCAGTGAGCCTGAGATTAGGGTGTTGTGACAAAGGCAGGGGCTAATTGTAGTGTAAAACTGTACCAGGCCAAAAGTGGAAGCAGTGGTTTAATAGCAATGTAGTGCCTGATGGCTAATTTGGGGCTAACAGTGTTTTGGGTTTGATAGTGACCAATCTGCGGGTGATTAAAATATAGTAATGTGGTCCTTTAAACAAACAGCACTGACATTGTCTCACACATGGTACCATAATACTAAAATAGTGATACATGAAACATGTGAAACTAGACAGAGTGCATACTCTAGCTCTTAAACCTCCCAGCACTTCACTAAAAGCAAATGACTTCTTTATTGGTAAGCATTTTAAATAGACAGCTAGGGAGCATTAAAGTAGAATCTGAAAAATAATTAAAAACCACCAAGGGCCCCACTAAGGAGTAACTCAAAGGATGGTAAAAATAAACTGTTGATATACTATCAGCCCCTATACTGCCGACTCTTCATAAATGAAAATGGTGTCATCCAAGTAACCCAACATGGACATAGATACAACATGGGTTGACAGACGCCCAGAATGAAGTTACCAGATGGACCATGTGGCATATAATATGAGGTTTCATTGAGAAATATAAATATACAAAAGTTATCAAAAATAGCATAAAAACCACTTCTACCACCACATATAGATTAAAAAGATAATGTTGTCTCATCACCACTGTGGCTGCACAGCCAGCACACACAGTCACATACCACTCACACCATCCACTGACAACTGACTAGGGTGAATATTAATGTATCAAGAGAAAGTCCGGTGGACATAAGCAGGCCAATGGAACTAAATAATAGTCTTCCAGTCAGGTGGATAATGAGGATAACAATTTGTGATCCAAAGCCCAATGGTATCTACTCAGTTCTCAGTCACCGAGGTGATCTGTAGCTAAATGGATGTAAGACAAGTCAGTGATGATGGAGCTCATGAAAGCCACAAAGTCCAAACACTGGTAACAACTAGACTAATCCACAGGATGACACAGAATAATGAGTCTCTCCAATACCAAACTGGATTTCAATATATGGCAATATTTGTATTGGGACTGACCCCAGATAGCATGTGCCATGGAATCTGATATAAAGACTACACACTGTGAGGCTCACCCAAACTTATGGCATCCACCGGCATCAGGGGGGGAATGCAGAGTTGTTGCAGTAAATCCGCAGCTCACCAAGTGGCAGTGTAGAGCGTGGCTTTTGCTGGCAGGACCATCTGTCTAGTTCTCATAGATCGTGCAGGGCTTGAGCTGGGTGCATAGCCATGAATATCTGGCTGGAGCTGCTGCCATACGTGGTGACATCACGTACGTCACTTGCGTGATGATACGAACTCTGACATGTTTCGTTCAATCAGATCAGGCTTCTTCAGGGTTGACTCTTCAGGGGCTTTCAAAACATGTATAGGCAGTCAACATGCTCGTCATATGTGAGTGCATAATGTTTTAAAGACATGGGCACCTTTATTGATTTAATAAATACTGCACTAGTCTTTAATATTTTTGGTGCGCATGATTCATTTCCTGAGGGGAAATTGTAAGTACCACTGGACTGGAAGTGTCTGAAGAGAGGGATTGATATTGGTCTATCAAACCATTTGGATGCTGCATCAGAGCCTGGGGATTAAGTTCTTTTGACCTTCCTTTTCATTAAGAGGTCATCAAGTTGTGGTGAGTGACACACGAGGTGAAGCACTGTTGATAAGATAGACGAGAGATATGTATTTACAGTATTCACCATAGAGCACTTTTTTCACATTGTGGATTGAGGCTTTTTAGAGAAATTTTGATTACTATGTTATAGATTTTAATGTCATTATAAATTTATGGAATTTCAAGTGTAAGCGCCATACCTTTTTACAGTTTATTGATCAACACTGATCATTGTATTCTGACGGTGAGGAAGTTTCCCCACTGTCAGGATACAATAGCTCATAGGGAAATATACCCTCATTCACATTGAATGTATGGATGGGAAAATAGTTTTTTTTTTTTTTTGTTTAACGTACTGGTTAAATGAAAAAAAAAAAATGAATCATGTATGGCCAACTTTAGGTTTTAATGCTATGCTTTATTGTGCTATGCAATAAAATTAAAAATAAAGACATCTGTCCAAGTGAACTTAATGAACTCATTTTTGCAGTGATTCAGAAAAGATTTTGTAGGTAGAATTAGGATCAATTCCTACTCTTTAACCACCTCCCGCACGCCATATAGTAATATGACGGGAGCAAGGTGGTTCTCTCGTTCTGGGAGGAGGTCATATGACCTCCTCCCATTCTCACTGCGCATGCGCGGCTCAGGGAGCGCGCAGCCCGGTGATCGGCGGTGCGCTGTGTCCGATCATGGAAAGAGCCGAAGATGTCGGCTCTGTCATGAGATCAGCTGTGTCCAATCACAGCTGATCACATGTAAACAGGGAAATGCCGGTTATCGACATTTCTCTCCTCTCGAGCTGTCACGCTGACAGCTCGAGAGGAGAGGAGAGCTGGTAATCGGCTTTCCGCGGAGGGGACATGTACACTGATCATCAGGGCACTGATGATCAGTGTGCCCTGATGATCAGTGTGGCCCCAGAAGTGCCACCTGTCAGTGTCCATCAGTGCCAGCAGTCAGTGATCATCAGTGCCTCGTGCCAGTTCCCATCAGTGCCACGTCAGTGCCACATATCAGTGCACACCGGTGCACATCAATGCCACATATCAGTGCCCATCTGAGCTGCCTTTCAGTGTCACCCATCAGTGCCAGTCAGTGCCACCTATCAATGCCAATCAGTGCCACCTATCAGTGCCACCTGTCAGTGCTGCCTATCAGTGCGCATCAGTGCCGCCTAACAGTGCCTGTCAGTGCCAGTCAGTGCCGCCTAGCAGTGCCAGTCAGTGCGACCTATTAGTGCCAGTCAGTGCCACCTATCAGTGCCAAATATCAGTGCCATATATCAGTGCTGCCTTTCAGTGCCAATCAGTGATGCCTGTCAATACACATCAGTGCCACCTACCAGTGCCTTCTCATCAGTGCCCATCAGTGCCACCTATCAGTGTCCATCAGCGCAGCCTATCACTGCCCATCAGTGCACCCTCATTAGCGCACATCAGTGAAGGAAAAAAATCACTTATTTACAACATTTTTTAAGAAAAACTAAGAAAAACATTTTTTTTCAAAACTTTCAGTGGTTTTTGGTTTGTTTAAGAAAAAATAAAAAACCCAGAGGTGATTAAATACTACCAAAAGAAAGCTCTATCTGTCACAAAAAAATTATAAAAATTTCATATGGGTACAGTGTTGTTTGACCGCGCAGTTGTCATTCAAAGTGCGACAGCACTGAAAGCTGGAAATTGGCCTGGGCAGGAAGGGGGTATAAGTGTCCGGTAGGCTAGGGGTTAAACATAAGAAGATTAGGTCAACTACAGACATAAGGTATGCCACTGGATACTGTTCTTCTATTCACTTATGGCTGATGCTTGTGTGGAGGACAGGTGGATGCAAAGTGTAGATCTTGATGACTGCCATATAGTATGAATCAAATACACCGTTTACCAGGAACTAGAAATTCAGTTTGAAATCGTACTTTAATCTTTTTTCACCTCAGTGAAATAATAAAAAAAAATAGTTTTCTCCAAATATTCTGTAGACCTATAGAAAGTGAATCCTCTATAGAAAGTCAAATTAGCTAATCGTAATTTTCTGTGGAGGCTTGCCTTGAGTTCTCTAAGTTTGTACACTCAAGGACCCCCCATTTCATAAGTTATTACACCTGGATGATGTTTCTGTAATATTGCTGCAGTCTATAGCAACAGTGAACCATAGGTAAGATGCACAGAGGGTAATTGTAAAAATCCCAGGGAGGTGTTCTTTTTCACCTTAGAAATTTGTTGACCTCTGGTTTTATGTTTACCTGCAAGGGTGCCATATGTTATAAGATAACCTAACTGATGGAGAAAAGATTGGTCTTTAATTGGAATGCCACATCAGCTGCCACCTTTTTTTATAATCAGTGTGTATGACAGAAGAAAGGAACTTACTCTTATGTTCTTCTGTGCTAGGAGGTCATTCATCTTAATTTGTCATTTTGAGTACAGGCTGCTTAAGGTCACTGGCTCTACAGATATTGTTTATGTCCTAGAAAGCCTTTAGTCGTCATGCACACTGGACACTTTTACAGCTTCTGTTTTTTGGCTTTTGATATATTTTTCTACAGCCAGTAAACTCCCCAGCATGTTATCCTATGTGTCAATGCACACATAGACTGTAATCAATGTTTTTTGGCAGGGGTGTTTTTTGTCTGGAAAATTACCCAGAACTAGTGGGTTTCTAGAGGAGTTTTTAGCTGTAAAAATGCTCTAACGCTGAAAAACGTGGCAAACCACCATAAACCAGCTTTTTTGGATTTTTTTTACCCAAAAATTATCTTTTATTGGTAATAAAAAGTCCTAAAAAATGCAAATGCAGCAAAGCGACGCTAAACACTAATGCAAAAACGCTAAAAAATGCTGAAAAACTCAACTTTTTAACGTGACTTTACACAGCTAACGTTACCAGCGTTATTAAAATGCCCAGTGTGCATGGAGCCTTATCAGAAACGTGTCTTTCTGTGCTGTAGAGAATGTGCTGCTGCTTTGGTGCAGAAAGAACGTAGAGAATTATGGCAAAAAAAGACAGCTGCAGATTAATTTATCTGTGTCTAGCCCTAAAACCAATGATGTAAATATTTCCAGTGACATTTCTGATTAAACGAGGAATCCTTTGTTTGTGATGTGCATTGCCCTTCCATTTGCACCTTACTGAAAAGACCAGTTATAGGTTGGGGTGTTGCCACTCTTTTGTACAGTTAAATTGTATTTGTTCTGATTTTACAGTCATAAGTAAATTCCCCATACTCATTTAAATTTGCTTTAACTTTCCTGTCACTTTTTGCTTTAGAGAAAGCACAATGCCTTTAGGATTCAACCCTCACAAGGTCTTTTTAAGGAATAAACATAAACACAAAGTTTTGGCACTGACACTACATAAATGCATTTTTTAAATAATAAAAGAATCACTGCATAGCAGAATAATTTAAAGTGATACTAAAGTCTTGTTTTTTTTAAACATAAAAAAATAACAAACATGTCATATGTACCTCCTTTGTGTAGTGGTTTTGTACATAGCAACCCTTTTCAGGTCCCCCACCAGCTTTTCGGGCCTCTCCCTCCTGTCGGGTGCCCCCACAGCAAGCAGCTTGCTATGGGGACACCCAAGCAGGTGCACTCCCATGGGGGGCTGCTACACACAGAACAACTTTTAACTTCATGCATAGAATGCATTGAGGTAAAAAACCTTGAGTCTTTACAGCCACTTTAAAGGATAAGTTCACCTTTCGTAATATGTTACACCCATATTCAGGGTGTAATATGTAACATGTTACGTTTAGACCGGCCCCCGCTCCCCGCTTGGACAGCTAGTGGCAGATCTTCTCTCCCCCTCGCTAGCTGTCAAATTTGAAAAAAATTTGGCCATGTAGGGCTCCACCCACATGGCTATGTCACTCATTTACAGTCATCTGTGAATGAGAGACTACAGGTCCTGACAGCTTTATCGGCTGTCAGCTTGTAGTCCTCAATAAACTACCATGGCGCTGTGAAGTGCCATGGTAGCCCATTCATTCTTTCTGTCAGTATATCTGCTTGCTCGTACATTCCGTACGAGCAAACAGATAAACTGACAGGTCTGCCGGAGACCTGCATAGCATCAGTGATCTACTGATCAATGGTGCAATGCTTTACAGCCTCCTGTAGATAAAAATAGTAAATGCACATTTTTTTACCTGCAAAAAAATATGAATTTTTTTTTTTTTTTTTCTAAAAGGTGAACTTATCCATTAAAGCTATTTGAGCTTTTTAATAAAAAAATGTTGTTCATACTAAAATGTGTTAATAATTGCAACCGATTGGAATCCATTTTTTTTATCACTCTAAGAGTTTATTTATTAAGTGAATTCCAACTGATTGCTGTTGGTTACTGCCATTTGCACGCATTACCTTGTTCATGGCACTGTTTGATGACTAAGCCTTTTAGTGTTTTTTAATGTCTCTAAAGACTAGTTTTTCTGTTTTTTTATGAATGGATAACATTTGGCAATGCACATTGACGTGGATGTGTTTTCAGGTGCCACTGGTGTGGAAAAGCCCTCTGTTTGAAAATCAAATCATCATACGTACTAACAGTAAATGTAGGCCTTGGTGGCAGTCATCTGTAAGGAATAATATACATGGATTTAAAATGGTTTTAGAGAATTTAAAGTGTCAGTTTTTAGTATCCCTACCTAATTTACATGGTCTGAATGAGCTTTATAGCACGTTGTCAGGTTATAAAATCAATGGCTTGAAAACAGGAGCACTTCCACTGAATATCCCTCCAGCAAAACTGAAATGAATCAAGTTAAACTTACCATATGTGTGGAAAGCATAAAATTTGAAATTACTGGGGCTATCGGTCATCATTTGATATCATTGTGCTTTCCTGCTGTTAAAGGAGATTTAAGCCAACCATACATGGAACAAGTTCCTGCTGGCTTCTGATGAAATTCGAGTTGTGGGTGGCACCACTCCATCCAACATCTTTCAATCTAAAAAAATGAAGAAAGCAAGTGCAACATCGTCAGCCATTCAACTGCAACCACTGTTCTGACAGCGAGTGCCAGACTACAGTAGCCAGAAGCAGGAGATTTGTCCATCCACACTGTTTAGCATGGATGAGACAATCAATAGATTTCTCTTATTCAGTCAAGGTACTAGCCCTTTGATCCAATTATTCTGTTAATCAGCATTCCTCCAGATATGACTCAACCTCATTTCTTGATATGGCAACAGGGAGTGTCGTTCGGACTCCAAATTCTCTAACATACCAGATTATTTGCTTTATCACATTTCATACCCTTCTGCCACAAAAAAAGTAATGGATGAGTACTCTCAAATGGCCCATTTACCTGGGCTTGTAATGGCTTAAAAAATCTACTCTTTTAAACTGATGGACCTGAACACATGTGGGTTGATTTACTAAAGCTTGAGCGTGCAAAATCTGGCGCAGCTCTGCATAGAAACCATTTCGCTTCCAGGCTTTTTGTCAAAGCTTAATTGAACAAGCTGATTGGATACCATGTGCACTTGTACTAGATATTACACTCTCCAGTTTTAGTAAATCTACCCCATGGTGTCTACCCTAAACCCTACTCTAAACCTATCCCCAAACCCCAAAATCTCTCATTAAATGGGACAGAAATTGCAAACAATTAAGTACTGTCCATGATACTTTTTTATTTGCACTAACATACAATTTTTCAGGACAAGCTTTCGGGGTGTACCCCTTCTTCAAGGTCCAAGCAGTACAGGACAGGACAGCAGTTACAAACAAGGATGAACTTGCACAGGCACACCATCAAGGAGCATAAGGAAGATAGTTCCTGCACACCTGTGGGACATCGTTTTCTCACAACCAGACCACACTATGGAAGTCTTTAATGTCTGAGTTCTCAAAGGGAATTTCAAAACTATTCAGGAAAGAAAAACAAGAATGATAGTTCTATTTGACACAAAATATGATGGCCTAAATCTAGATCAAGGCTTTCTAAATCACTATAAAACAGTTTTATGATCCCCTCTGTGACTGCCCCCTCTTTCCCCCATTCTATAGCTCTTTCTCTGTCTTATCTCACTACCTATGCTAGTTTACCTACCATTGCTGTGTACATTTCTTTGGAGCTTGCCTTATTTTAATATTCTGCTAAAACTTTGTGCATTAGTACTGCTTGGACCTTGAAGAAGGGGTACACCCCAAAAGCTTGTTCTGAAGAATTGTATGTTAGTGCATATAAAAAAAAGTAACACACACAGTACTCAATTGTTTCTGTCGCAAGTGCACTAATACAACTACAATCACCTTTCCAAATGGGAGACAGAACTGGATATTGCACCGGAGAATCTGAATTGTGATAACATATGGCTATTTAACCATA